ACACTGATCTTGCATACCCCACATGACCCTGGACGGAGTCTCCAGAACGCATGCTGTTAAGGCTCTTTCACACGGAACGCAGCATGCGGTAAACCTGCCTGGCTCACGTTCACCCGGTCCGCCCTTTGAACACAAGAGACACTTTATAATAACTTTCATTAATAAATCATTAACAAACATTATGTATTGCTTAACGCATCATTAGTTAATATATTCACATCTAGAAATGTGAAATAATGTGCTTGTTAATGTTGACTAATATATGTATTAAACCTAATAATTAACATTTCATGTTAAAATGCTTACAAATGTCATTAAACTTCTAATTCATATGATCATGCACATCTTGAAAATCTACAAATGATTTTAACAGATGTTATACAGTGATTAAAAGCTTTTGTTAATGCACAACCCCTTTGCTGCTGTTGAGGTGTGATACGGGACAGGTTTGGTGGTATGGGTACGTTTAAGGTTGAGTAAGTGGTCAACAAGTGTACAGGGGTCAATTTGATTACTATAAGGGAACACACTTCAATCTGTTTATATTGCATTGCTTTGATAAATGAAGTATTTCCCCTCCTGTTGATGTATGACTCAAGGAATATTCTGTTTACTGATACACAATAGTATACTAATATAAGTGTTGAGGTGATAAAAACATGTTTTGCGTGTGATATGTCTTTACCAAGCATTTAGCTAAACTTAACTAACCACCCTTTACGCAAACATTGTTAAAGTAGCTAAAAGTTCAGTGCCAATAAAGATACTAAAAAAACATAAAGGTACTAATTATCAGTAAAGGTTTATAAACATTTACAATTGATGAATAGTTTCCACTTTAGATTGGGTACTGCAAAAACATTAACAAATTATTAATAAATGGTTTAAGATGTGCAAATAGTAAAAGTCAACACAACAAACAAAGACCAAATATATGACCTTTACAGACTGTGATTAGGAGCTAATGAATATATTAACATGAATAGTTTGTGAAGTATCTATAAGCTATATTTTCACAACATTTGTAAATGTAAAAATGAGCATTAGCTAATATGTGAACTGAAGTTTAATGACATTTGTAAGCGTTCAAAAGTAGGGGAGAGTGGGACGGTCGCAACATGGCTTATTTCTTCAATCAGGAATGAGCTACAGTGCTGATATTCATACTGCACATGCTCAATCAGCCCCTTAACCTTCCTGGATGAAATCAGGCACATGTGACCATTCCTTCTACAAATAATAATTTTCATGGTAAAAAAAGTATTTTTTTTTAATCATCAGATTTTTTTTGTCATACTGTCAAACTTGTCAAACATATGATTTATATCTGTTTTCTTAGTTTCTAATAGGCAGGGCGCCCTCTGGCTTCCAGTATAAAATTGTAATTACATTTTGTGTGTACAGAGATACAAAGATAATATTTTTCTCTAAAGAAACAGGATTTTTTGTCTCTTAGTGGATGCATAAGATTCCCTGAATTATCGTCATTGATATTGTTACCGCAATAAATACCAGAAATTACCGTGATATATTTTTAAGCCCATATCGCCCATCCCTACCCTAAAACAAAATCTGTGTAAAAAGTAACACTATGTCCAATGCCATTGTACTACCACAGTAAGCAAGAGTGGGGACGGTTGCAACGGGGGGCAGTTGCAGCATTGTTTTTTTTCTTCAAGCAGGAATAAGCTACAGTGATAATATTCATACTGCACATGCTCTTTTAGCCCCTCATCCTTCCTGGAAAAAATCAGCCACATGTGACCATTCCTTCTACAAAAAAAAATTAAATAATAATAATAATTTCCATGGTAAAAAAAGTATTTTTTTTTAATCATCAGATTTTTTTTGTCATACTGTCAAACTTGTCAAACATATGATTTATATCTGTTTTCTTAGTTTCTAATAGGCATAGTTAGCATGTGTCAAAGATATTGTGTCAAGCTAATATACCAAGTTTTGTCACGGCTGTCAGTGTGGGGACAGTTGCAACACGTTGTTGCAATGCTGTCCCTTACCACGACATTGATGTAAAAGCTTGCCATAACATTGCATAATTATAATTTTATGGATTAATAAAGAACTCCTTTAAATAGTTAGGTATTTCTCCTTTTTTAAGTAAATTTGGACTCATTTCAAAAGTGGACTTAAGTCAGTTCCATAAAATGGTAGATTTGTCTAATTTGAATTTTAAAAAGTAAGACTGATTACCACTGTTAACTGCTAGTTGATCAAACTAGTTCTTAAGACAGTCTTAAAATAGTGCACTGTAAAAAAAATTCAGTAAAATTTACGGTAAAAAAACGGCAGATGTGGTTGCCAGAATTTTACCATAAAAAAATACGGTAGCAACGTTTTAGGTTTTACGGTTTTAACTTAAATTTACAGTTAAATACCATAATTTCATTAACTGATATAATGTTAATATACCAACCTATTGAAGTACGGAAATATGTTTTGTACCTCTGATAACCACCAAATGCAGGTGCTGATGAGAAAGTCACATGATGAACCAAAGCCCATCACAAGCAGCTTTTAAATAATAACATATATAGAAGGTGCACAGTGTCATTCACACAAACACTAAACACCATCATGGTAACACACATGAAACTGAAATAATGCAATAAACATTCATTTAACAACATTAGGTGTAACACACAACCCTAATATACAAAACTGATAAGAAAAAACTAAGAAGAAACAGTTATTTCAACAACAAAAAAACATAAAATTTGAAATGTAACGCAGGGAATTCTGGAAATGTCAATTTACGGTTATTCACTGTAAATTATACGGTCTTTTTCACTTCCAAAAACGGTATACTACCGTAAAATTAATGTCCAATACATGTAATGTCCAATACAGTTTTCCACCGTATATAGTAGGGGAATTTACCATTAACCATTTAACAGGTTTTTACTGTAGCATTTTTACAGTCTTGTACCGTTAAATTCACGGTCATTTTTTACAGTGTGGCTATGTTTATGCAATGGCCTCAGTTCAGTAACCTTTCACAGATGTTAACAGAAGTAGGCTATTATTAAATTTCAGTGTCTTGATTCTGATTAAATTCATATTTTGTAGTTCAAATGTATTGTAATAATTAACCAAGACATGGTTGTTACTTGAAAATGTGTAAGACTGATTTATATAGTGTGTGTTATTGGTAGCAGCTGTGTGTGATTGGTTTCAGGTGAGCTTGTGATTAGTACAATGGAGCATGGGAAATGTAGTCCAGGGTGATGTGTAACAGTCTGTGTAGTGTGAGACCTCTGGTGGTGAGTGAACGGAAGTTTATAGACCGGATTCGTGACAGTCTATGCCCAAATAAAATAAAGAAATTGCAAAATGATATTTAAGAATTGTTTTAATTACATTTTAATGAATGTTGCAACTGCCCCTGTGGACTGTTGCAATCGTCCTCTGTTGTGGGGTCAGTTGCAACATTTGACTTTGTCTATTCAAGTATCATTTGTAATCAACGGGTCGGTACAGTAACTAATGATGAACGTGTAGTTTGCAGAGAAGCATTTCAGTTGCTCACGGTGTTCACCCAAAAATTTAAATTGAACATAAAAGAAGATACTTTGAAGAATGTGGGTAACCAAACAATTTCTGGTCCCCAATGACTCAGATAGTATATTTTTTCCCTACTATGGAAGTTACTGGGGACCAGCAGCTGTTTAGTTACCCACATTCTTCAAAGTAGCCTATCTTCTTTTGTGTTCAACAGAAGAAAGAACTTTATGCAGGTTTAGAACAACCTAAGTAAATTATGACAGAATTTTCATTTTTGGGTGAACCATACCTTTAAAGTGACAGACACATCCATGCTTCTAAAGGTATCGGCCTATTGTTTTATTAAAATAAATAACTCTAGACTTCACGTCCCCTCATAGTTTTCCAGAGGGTGCCCAGCCTTATGTCAGCTTCTTTCTCTGTGATTCCTCTGGGCCTGCTTCACATGCGGCCCCTCCAATATTGGCTCAAAGGTGGAGTCTCAAGTCCCACGGAGGAGCTCCGGAAGGATAAAAGAAGGAGTGACGACAGTGAAGAACGAGAGAGGACCAGGCCTTGACTATTTATGTTGTTGTTTTATTATGTTTTATGCGGCAGTCGTCTGTGAGGGGCTGCCGCTTTTACTTTCGTTTTGTGTTCGTTTATTTGATTATTTAAGTTTTATGTTTAAATGTTCGCCGGTTCCCACCTTCTTATTCCTTGAGCTACGAACTTTGTTATAATTATTATTATTAAATATACTTTGGACAGTTTCAAGCCCTTTTCCTGTCAGTATTATTTATTTTAGCACATTACGATTTTATTTATTTATTTATTTTTTATTTCTATTCATTTTTTTTTGTTTGACCCCAAATGGACTTTGCATATAATTAAAATGTTTTCCCTTTACCTCAATAGCAAAAAACTTTCTGACTGTATGATTGTTCTACAGCCCAAAAAAGTAGAATGATATTATATAGAATCTCCCCTTGCACTATTTTCAGGTTTAACTGTAACCATAATGAGGCATAATTGCAAAAACTGGTACCTCAGTACAAATTAAGTGGTAAACTTTGACAAAATATGATTTCAACTGTTATAATAGAGATTTTAGAATGTCTAAATATAAATCCAAAAGCAGAAGCTATTAGTGAGTATGGGCCAATCCGCATTTGATTTTCGGCTTTAGCAATTGTACATCGCATGTACACTCGAAAACAGAGTGCACTGTGGGTGTAAAGAGAGAACAGATGTAGGGAATGAAGTTGTTCACTTAGAATTCTGACACCACTACAAAATATTGTGCATATTAAGCATAATAACGTTAAGGTGTGGGGATTTTGGTGTGTTTTGAATCCAATATTGTATCAAGCGCCTATTTAGAACAGTTTTGTATAGTCAGTAATAAAATTAATTATACAAAGTTCACATTATCAATCAAATGGAACACATATTAATAATGACTTCAAATGAAACAAAACTTGAGTCTACACACAGGGCTCATTTAATGCTTTTATTAAATGTAAGAGTAAACACATTTGAAATTCTTATGTGAGGAAGTACATCAAATAATCAAATTATTAGAGATTTTAGTGAATATTGATAAGGTGATTACACAAAGTATGGAGCTATATGTATATTTTGTAATAGAATCAGAAAAGATTATTTAGACAAAATAATGCACAGTATGTGTTACCCCTGTTTAAAATCATTGAGCAAAGTGCCATTTGGACCAGAAATGGAAATGGACCAGAGGAAAAAAGGCTCAAACAAGATAATTAAATGTAGAACAACTGACACATTGCTGGTAAAATCAGAAAAAGACCAGCCAAAAACAATCTGTCTTGACACGCAGATCACAGATCGGATTCTTGAATATTCACTTTGATATCAGTGTAAATGATGCCTTTGTATCGGCCCTTGGTTTCATACTGTACCACACTGCTGTTCTTGCAAGTGATCTTCACTGTGCCAGTGTAAGGCAGGTCAGACACAGCTCTGCCGATGGTGATGTCAACATCCACCATCTTTTTAGGTGGCACATTTATAGTGTAAGACAGAGTTTCCTTTCTCTCATCTGTCTGCTCCAGACTATAGGTGCTTTCTGATCCAACACTGAAACTGTATCCTGTAGAAACGTCTACAACCTCTGGAATCCCTGCCTTCACTTCCACACTAAATGTTGCTGCAAAGCTGTTACTCATCGACCATGAAGATTTTTTGGTCAATGTCTTTGAGGTTTCAATTTTTTGTGGTTGCTCGGCAGAAGAGCCGTTTCTGTAAGTGACAGATTTGATCTCTTCCACCGTCATCTTTGGTATCAGTTGGTTTATTGTGGGATAGTTGACATTGGTGAGAACTGTTGATTGAACCGCATTGAGAAACATGAATCCCATGCAGTCAAATATCTTCACCAGATCTTCCTTCAACTCCCAAACAATAACCAGAGCCAACATCGATGGGATATTCTGTTTTTAAACCCCAGCTTGTCATCAATGCAAAAAATTCTCCACCCTTGTTGGTCTTGAATTTGATGGCTCCAAGACGTTTTCCTGCTCCGTTCCCCCAGAGGGACAGTGAGGTGAAACACTCACCAGGCCTGAACTTGTACTCTTGATACGGTCCGGCTGGTTTTCCAAAGGTATCACTTCTGCCATCTGAAAGCCAAACCTTGACAGCCTTCACCTGAGATCCTCCCACCCAGACCCCGATCTTCTCTAAACTGGCACCATTGTCCTCACCCGTAAATGAAAATGAAGAACCTCCTCCACCACCAATTTTATACAGAGTTGTTGGGTAGGACATCTTTGAAGTAAATAGATCTGAAAGTTACATCACAGATCAATATTATCATTGGCAATCAAAAATATTATATATTACTAGTACATGTCCCTTGAGTATTAATTTTTAAAATCAATATGCATTTTCCCCCCCAATTGTTTTGAGGTAATTTAGAATTTATTTTTCTTTCATTAAGTATATAAAGTTTATAAAATCAATAAGCATTTTTTCCCACAATTGCTTTGAGGTAATTTAGAATTTATTTTTCTTTCATATGTTACATAAAGCATAACCATTCTATAGAAGTGCTTCCCAAACCTGTTTCTGGAGGGTTATCAGCAGTACACATTTTTGGATTTCTTTCTTATCTGACCCTTCCATTTCAGGCCTTAGAGTCTCTATTAATAAACCGACAAACTGAATCAGCTGTGTTTAACAGAAAATGTTCACGGTTGACATGCATCTAGGAACAGGGTTGGAATACATGGATGTGTAATCCTGTAATAATGCCATGCAAAGTATAATAAGCTGTAAACTTCATGAATGACATCTTAAGTGCTCGTCACTGGAAACATACTCACATACTGTAGATGACTGTAGTCTGATGAACTTCTCAAGATCAGCTCGTCTGATAAAAGCCAGAAAAGTGATGTATGTGATCAGGATGCTGCTTAAATAGAGCTCCAAAGGGGGCAGGTGATACCTGGAAAAACACCAAGACACCCTGCGTCAATGTAATCAGCAATGTAATCAGTGTTTGAATATGAAAATAAGGTTTCCAACACACTTTAAAGCACCATACTTAGGGTATGTGGATTTTTTAAAACTAATTTAACATTTGATTGAACTATTTAATGTAGAACAACTCTGATGGATTTATAAAATTAAATCTAAAATGTTTAAGAGTATCTATTAAGTAGTTTCACTGGCAACAAATTGTCGATTAATCATTATTCTTCTTTTGTGCTCCATGAGGGCAGAAAATCATACAGGTTTGGAACGACATGAGGGTGAGTAAATAATGACATGATTTTGGGGGGAAATGGATATTTTTGGGATTAATTTATTTCTCAGGTCATCTTAATGGTTTGGAAAGACTGCCCTCCACTCTCCAATATCTGTTGACATAACACAACTAGTTCAAAGAAAACCCTTCCCCAATTCTACTTTTGCATATTTTGCATTCATATTTGCATTCAGACCTAACCTTTTATTTATATTGCAAAACAGGTTTCTGCATACCTTTTATTTTGAATGTACAATCATTTCACACCATGTTCTACTTAGAGCTGTTCATGTCCTTGGACCGGGAACTGTGCGTTTCTATGGCAACACTATCAAAAGATGCCTAAATTAATCTGCAGCAGTCAGGCACAGTCACGTGGTACAAGTAGAAGCTCTCAGAAAATTCCCAGATTACATATGGTCATTATGAGTTCTACAAGGACATGAATTATAAGATGTGTCAGTACAAGATATTTTCAGTTAAGACAGCTTGAACATGCATTTTAGTCTGAGACTGGCCTGTGAATCCGGGGGATATGTTAATGTTTATATAACGTTAGCTGTGCTCTCTTTTCACAATTATGAGGTCCATACATACACTTCCAAAGCATCTCTTCCATTTCTTCTTCCTTCCAAAACAAGATGGTCATTAAGAGGGTTCTGAACCTAGATAGAACAGAAGTATATTCATCCGTTTTTGTATTTATACCGTTAATTAATTTAAACGTACTCTTTCAAACAACAGCCATGTCTATTAAACGTGGTCGTTAAATTATTGCACTCACCATATTAGCGCCACCATCGTCTCCTCCGCTGCAATCGCGGCTGCTGTATGAGTAAAATTAACTTACACTCCTCATAAACAACATCGAGTGAAAAAGAAATAGGAAAAGACGAAAATAATCTCAGTCGATCTTGCTGGTCCGAGGTTCAAGCGTGGTTTTGTCCGCTGCAGGCGCGTGAGAAAGCTAACGTTAGCTAACGGATGAGAAATGTCCCGTCGTTTAGACAAACAATTTTCACAGATCACAGTCTCTCGAGGAAAATACATACAACTAACTTATCTAAAACAAAGTTTCCACCTTCTCATCCACAGCTCGTTGAATTCCCACACAATCACGGTGACAAAATGGCGTCGTTAACTGACTCGCAGCACCAGTGTGAGGAGGCGTGGTCATGATATAAACTTAATAATATTAAATTAATCTAACCTTGATATTTTACATTCGTCAAAACAAATATGTCTTAGTTGAGCTCTTAATAAAAAAAATATTTATATTTATCAATGTTTTGAACTAAAAAAATATTACTTGAAAAATAAAACAAATAATGGTAAATTTAATTGA